GGAAAAAAGTCCACATGATCGTAGATTGATGGATCATTTTGTCGGCAGCCTATTCACTTTCAGTCCATATGAACTGGGCTGACAGTTGACCGCTGCGTGTCTCATGGGATAGACTTTTGACTTATTTTTTGTAGGCCTACACGCTGCTGTTCACACACAGTGTTGAAGGCGGCTTGTTTGAACGGCAGTTATATACGAAAGGGAGACAAGAACTGGAGCGAGCGAGAGAGAGAGAGAGATGGCATTTATCAAAAGAGCCTGACATTCTAATTATATTAATGAATTAATAAACCTTCAGTACATTATTCATTTATTATCACGATTTAAACGTAACTTTTATTTCCAGACGCAGGCCACAGAGACGCTGAACCTGTTCTCCCAAATTGCTGCCAACTTTAAATGTTACAGTCACTTCAAGGAGTTTGCGTGCGCTGTGCTAACTCCACGGTGTAATACAACAGGTGTACGTGTACCGCCGTGCAGGCAGATGTGCGCAGGTGAGCCATGGCTTTAGGTGCCCGGTGTACGGTTTTCCCGTGGAGATTCAAATTTTACGGATTTTCCTTGTGTAAACCGCGCTTTTCTCCGGAAAGCAATATTTAAAGGGATAATAACTCTTCGTATGAGACCTATATATCATAATAAAAACATTGGGAACAACTCATAGAAAATTAATTTAATCTGTTTTACCACAAAAACAGCAGTTATAGCTATTATTTTGATATCTGAGCTTGTCTTTAGATCACGTGACCTCCATTGATGGCTATACTCTGTTATAATATCTTAAGTGATTTTAACAAAAAACAAACTTTTTAGAAAAAAAACAAGGACTAACTTTGAATGTAAAAATGGATTCATTAACCATTGGTAAGTACGGGAAAATTGTTGTTTACTCCAGGAAAATTCATTTTTTGGCCAAAACGAAGAGTTATTATCCCTTTAATCTTTATTTCCTGAATTTGAGACTTTGTACCTCTAAATGCTAATAGTCTTTACCGATAAAAATAGACTCTCAGTATTTTGGTGTTAATAGTATCCTTCCTCCAACAAGAAAATGCCACCAAAACTATTTAAACACATTGATGGTTTATCCCTCAATGCTTGATTATTTTAATTAGTTTAATTTATTATAATTATATTGATTACTATATTGATATTATTATTATTATTATTATTATTATTATTATTATTATTATAAAAATATATTAGGTAAAGAGTATGTTCAGAGTATGAAAACGTATACATTATAGGTTCAAATTTAAGTTATTTATAGTAAATAATTTTAAATTAATAGTTAGCATTAAAATAAATCACTCACATATATTAAAATAATTAGTTAGAATTAATTGCGGAATTAATTTAAAATCAAGATTAAGGCAGGAAGCGTTAAGAACCTCTGTCTTTCCTGTTATCCAGACGCTGTGTCTTCCTGCCAGTATTACCTCAGTTATCTGAACGTCCAACTGCCGTTTGATTGCAATACCTTTCCTCACAGTAACGACTCTGAGGTCTGCTTTACTCACTATCAGGTGCCGGGAGAAGATACAGGTGAGTGAATGTCCTTGGGGTGGGAGTGGTACGAGTGGGGGTGGGGATAGGGAGGGGGATGGTTGGGGGCGATTGGGAGTAGGTGACTAATCGCCGTGAATAGAAATATATTGAAGGACGAATTTAAAATAAATGAAGAAAATAATTTACACTTCATGATAATTCGTTTGTTTATTTATAACTAATTTCCTTTATATTTATTTATTTGTTTATTTAGATACGTAAATTGTCTATAAACAACGTAGAAAACAATCAGAAATTATCAGGAAAAATAGATTAGCCGTTGGTAAATAGACGCTTTATCAAACTTAATATATGTCATTATCATGTCAGTAAATACTAATGGTCCCCAACTTACTGTGTCTTTTCTGTTTGTGTTGAAGTTTGCCCCCCAGAGAAGTTCCAGTGCAGTGCCACAGAGTGTATCCCCATGCACCATCGGTGTGACGGCTTCCCCAACTGTCTGGGAGACAAAGACGAGGAAAACTGCGGTAAGTAGGAATATTGTCCGTATAGACAAATGTATGTAGATCGCTCTAACTGACAAAACGTGCAGTTGGAGTTTGCCATAACACTAGTGACTGGCATGTGATTGACATCACAGAGAAATTAATGACTTGAGGCAAAAAAAAAAAAAAAAAAAACACTGTAACCGTCCACGACCATACTTAAGTGGAAAAAGTCCGGGATCATGTTATCACGCTCGATTGTACGTAAGTCCGAACGTGCGTTTTTATCTTCCGGATCTCGTCCCAGACGATTACAGGAATTTTAATTCAAAAACTCAAAGTATAAGCATTGATAGACCTACTGGTGTCATCGGGGGTATGCACGGGTTCGTGGGAACAACATCTCACATTTAGTTTTATGAAGGCCTACATCCAGGTTGGCTGTAAGCCAAAGGTATGAAAGATTTTCGGCTTGTGTTTGATAATTTTCACTTACGAATATAAATGATGTTTTCAGAAAACTTCCAGTGTGTCGAGGGCCAGTTCGCATGCGCAGATGGAGTGAGCTGTCGCCCAATCATATTCCAGTGTGATCTCGAGGCCGACTGTCCTGACAGAAGCGACGAGCAGAACTGCAATGATACCTGTAACTCTTACCAATTCCGCTGTATGAATGGGAAGTGTATTAACAAAGACTGGACGTGCGACAAATACAACGACTGCGGTGATAGGTCGGACGAACTTGGCTGCGTTCCACACAACGGTAAGTTCCAACGAAGAACGCAATTCTGTGGTAGAACCGTTCTCAACTAACGCATTCTTGAATTATTTCGCTGCAGTCTTTCCTGCTCTTCGGTTTTCTGACTGCGACAATGTATAGTCGGGCCTTTGCAAAACTTCATGAACAACGACAGAGTAATTAGATATCTGTTCAGATTTGAACTACATGTATATGACTACATGTACATTTATTAACTAAACTTTCTAAAAGTGTCGTCATTTAGTACATGTGTCAGACAGAGACCCCACTAGCGGATCAGTTGTGTGTACCATAATGTTAATGAAAATCAATGCGCATGACTGTTTTGCTTAACATTTTGGCGATTATTTTTCTTCTTAAAATTGCTAGTGATGGTGTCAGTCCCTGTTAAATCATTTTGTTCGTGGACAGACTATTTAAAAGTCGTCCGCAGACATAGACCTTTGATGTATTATCTTTTTATCTGCACTCAGTTTATGCGTGTTTCGTTCCACATTTTGATCTCCCATTTCGTATTTTCCAGTAACGTGCCCAGTGGATCACTTCAAGTGCCTCCTTGGAGGTCTGGGCATTGCGTATCCCAGCAGCCCTTGCATCCCCAGGAAACTCGTGTGTGACGACACCAAACACTGCGCAGACGGCACGGATGAAATCAACTGTCGTAAGTATCATCATTAGTAACTACAGTTTATAGTGGGTACATGCGGTTCCAGGGTTTTGTTTATGGGGTTGGAGTACACCGAAAAGCTATAGACGGGGAAATTTTAATATAGCAATTAGGACACGGAAAGAACAAACTGAAAGACGATATCGTGTTTCGATTGTTTACACTTTTGGCAGTATGGAAGGAGGGGAGGGGGGGTGCGTGCTACCTCAGAAAGTGAAGGAGGAGCACCTGTCCACTCCGGTCTCCCTTAGGTCCGCACTGAGTATCAGTTGAACACTTCTGTTTCTTTGAAATGTATCACGTCACATTTCTTAAATGTTGATTGTAATTGTTTATTCTGTCACAGGGTGTATGCATAATGAAGTTACCATTCTGAGTAGATTTTTTTCTTCAAAAAACAAGTGGTTATGTTAAATGATTTCAGAAACATGCCTCGAATTGTTTGACCACCTGCACTTTCTCGTAGTCACACTCTTTGAGGTTGTTTATTTTCTTGTGGTTTTATATTTTTATTTTATTTTAGCCGAGAAAGAAACTGTGGTTGCAGCACCTAACTGTACAAACAACATAATAATCCCGGAGTGCTCCGATGTCATTCCGTATAAAACAACGTCCGTGACGACAGACAAGCAACGAGAACTGATGGCGAATGCTGATTGGCCGTCATTCATGAATCACGTGAACTCCACGTGCTACGAGGGGTCGCTGTTTGCGTCCTGCGTGACTATGCTACCCAAGTGTGACAGTAACAATTTCCCAGTGCCGCTTTGCAAACATGTATGCGAAGGTAGGCAGACGCTGTTACTTTTAAATTTTCAGCACTTTACAGTTACAGTATTTTTTTAAATATTTTAAAATATCTCACTGCATGTTCTGATTCCCTCTCAGTTTCTTCTCATATCATTGGATCTGCCTGATTGTCACTCGCCATATCTTCATTTAAAAATTTACTCTTTCATTTTTCTTTCTTTCTTTCTTTCTTTATTTATTTAGTGATGCATATAACTGAAATTTGTCTACTGGCATTGCTTTTTTGAAATAAAGAGTAACCTATTGATGAATTTTTTTTGGAATTCCGTTGCTTGCTTAATTGTATCGATATGTTTGCAGTATTTAAAATCGGATTGATAACTTCAATATACATTTTTCATTTTTCTTTCAGATTTCAAGAGCAATTGCCCCGCCATCTTCAGAGCTCTTCCAGAGTTCGGCAAGCAACTGGACTGTGAGGCACTCCCAGTGTACGGCAGAGGACTGGACTGCCTGTACGGGGATATGATTCCGCCAACCACTGAGACACCGACTGTCTTCCCAGGTATGTTGTGGTCCCCCATGTGTTACGCTGATTACACATTAAATGCACCGATTGAGTTGACTAAAAAATTTTAGATGAACTGCTGTTAAAATTCACTCATTAGCCATAGTTTTGAAAGAAAATCTTCTGAGGGAGTGCGTGAGAAATGACAGAGATGGTGAAGTTATCGCAAACCAGTGTGCCTTAGTCCAGTGAAGCTTATATTTGTTCAAAAATGCCTTGTACGTACATAGTTAACAAGGCAGGTGACCTTGAAGCAGCCTCCTTAAATTGATATAAAATAACTGTATTTTGGCAAACACCATTGCGATGCCTGTATCACGATGTTGAAGTTAGTATTAACAGTAATTGGAAACATGGGGTTTTAATTAGATATTCCACTCCGAGTCTTGCGACAAACAGTGCAGTGCAGAATAACAATAACGATATCTCCTAGTTGCGGTTTGTTGGGTGCGGCAGATTAAAATTGTTCTTTCTCGTCATTTAATTACAATGTAATATCCACAAACATCTTTCTTTCTTTATCTAAGTAAATATGTTCAAAATAACGTTATTTTAATAAATTCATCTCCCTCACATCACAAATCCTTTATTATTATTATTATTATTATTATTCCAGGGACCCCAGAGCAGCCTCGTTGTGAACCCCTAACTATAGAGGCCTGTAAGGACATGGGTTACAACATCACAGCGTTCCCAAATTACCTGGATCAACAGACACAGGTAGGCCATAACTGACACTTGACGTACATATTCTCCAAACCTATGTTAATAATTATGATAAAGTTTTATCAATGGTCTAAAATCCATATAAAATGTTCACTAGATTTGACATTGGTAAAATGAATAAGATGAATTAAGTCAAATAATACAGGTTTGCAATTAAAATATATAGTACAATTTTAGGATATAAAAGTCAGTCAAATCAGTCATTAAACTTTTTGAAAATGAGAGTTTTTAATTCATTTAAAAAAAATCTTCTCAGGTTTGGTTGCAGTTAAAGCATTCATAGATAAACTCAAGTTCTGACATTAATTACTGGTGGCCAGTTCAGATATGTGCGTCTAAATTACTCGGTATTTTAATTGATTGTTAAAACATTTATCTACGCATATTGTTATTTTTCAATTCCTTTAAATAATTAATGCTCGTGTTTTGCAGGCGGAGGCGGAGTATTACGTCAGTGTTTTGTCAGCGGTTCATTCTATCTACAGATGCCACGACTCCTTGATGACATTTGGCTGCGCTGCACTGGCGCCATCTTGTGTCGGTGAACAGAGGCGCCCTCCATGTCGCAGTTTGTGTGAAGGTAAACGTCCAAGAAATGTAAAGTCTATTTTTGAAGAAAATGTTAATTACGACAGCGTAGATATAGAGAATAGATTTTCCTATTTCAAACTTGCTAAAATTCCATCAACTAACTTCAGCCACGACCGCTGGGTGTCAGCAGCAGCTAGGGTTTGCCGACTTCCAGTGGAACATCGACTGTTCCATGTTCCCAGACTCCACGGACAGCGCGGTGTGTGTACCGCCACCGTCACAGCCACACAACCAAAGTACGTTTATTAACTTCTATATATTGCTATTTCTAACTGCACTGTTTACTTAGATCAGGGATAGTTACCAATGTGAGACCGTCGTACCACGTATTTACATGTATTTATTTATTAAAGAACCTATTGTTATTATACATCAATTTCTTACTGTATTTATTACTCATATTATGGAATATGTAACAAGAGGTTCCGCTCCCAACATATTCATTAGCTTTTACCTCCCATTTTGAACTCAGCGTTTTTACTATTATTATTATTATTATTATCATTATTATTATTATTATTATTATTGGTAATACTTTGATGTGTACAGGAAAATAGTCATATCTTCAGTAAGAGAATAATGTTATGTGCTGTACGTTGTCACTGTTCCAGCTCAGTGTCGTGAAGACCAGTTTGACTGCGGAGACGGGCAGTGTGTCAGCTTGGTAGACAGGTGTGACAGCAGCATTGACTGCAACAATGTCGCTGATGAGAGGAACTGCGGTGAGTTCTTGTCTTTCTTTTCTCTGTGACAGTGCTGTATATTTATATCTTCATTTGCAGATCTCGGTGAATGCAACCAGTTACACAGATTAACACGCCTTCTACTGTTTCCAATGTGCTTTTATAATTGCTAGCAATCTGATACACTGATTGCATTCAGCCACGGTTCCTGCAGAGCATAATCGTTCTACGTAGACCGATAGTTTCAACGGGGATGTGCTCTAAGATGTCGATTTCCTTTTACTATAACAACTATTCTTTTCACCCCTTTTCACATTGAACAGTACAGTTCTTAGTGGCCTTATGTCCCACACGGGACGAAAAATAATGATGAGTACAGTTCTCTGTATCGCACCAGTTTGGCTGACCTTAAATTGTTCATTTGCTACAGGGACTTAGACCCCATTCCCATAGATTTTAGATCGATCTATTCCTGTGGGGAGTCTCACTAGATTACTGTCAGCTTAGCCAGCTTAAGCGTCTGTCCCGCCTACTAAAAGCTGTAACAGTGTAAGGGAGTAATTAACTATGGTGCGCGCTCGGCTGACTGCAATTTAGCGTGAACCCCCAGGGAGTTAGGTCGATCTAAATCTAAATCTCTGGATCGATCTACATCTCTGGGAATGCACCCTTAAACTCTCTGTTATAAGTTCTTACGATGTTTAAAATCCCAGGTGTAACATGCAATATCGATAAGGTTTACGCCTATCATTTCTCTCAACCTGATATGTTCTCCTCTCCAGAGGGGTTCACGTGTATTGAGGGCCAGTTCGCCTGCCAGGACGGACAGCAGTGTATCCCCCTGGCCTGGGCGTGTGATGCTCCCAATACCCCGGACTGTCGTGATGGATCAGACGAGTCAGGCTGCAGTGAGTATTGGGATGTGCTTGAGAGAGAAAGAGAAATAATGAGAGAGGGAGGGAGAGAGAGAGAAGAGAGGGGGGATACACAGACACAGAGAGAGAGAGAGAGGGTTGAGAGAGAGGGAGGGGGATAGTTACACACACAGACAGAGAGACAGAGAGAGAGAGACAGAGAGAGGGAGAGAGAGAGGGAGAGGGGAGGAAGGGGAGAAGAAGGAGGGAGAGAGAGAGGGGGAAAGATACAGAGAGGGAGAGAGAGGGAGAGGGGGAGGAAGGGGGAGAAGAAGGAGGGAGAGAGAGAGGGGGAAAGATACAGAGAGGGAGAGAGAGAAGAGAGGAAGGGAGAGACAGGAAGCGATGCAGACACACACACACAGATGCAGATGCACACAGAAAGAGAGAACGTGAGTGTATGAGTTGGTGTAAGAGTTGATAACACAGTAGTCAATTGCAGAGAGAATGAGATTCGGGAAGGATTGCAAAGATAGAGTAGGAAAGAGAGAGGACAAGGAGGGAGGTAAACGTGGCAAAGATGAGAGATATACAGACTGGATTAAAACTCGACCAAAGATTAAATCAAATGAAATGTTTCCTGCGTTGAGAAAAAAATTCAAGTATAACTGCGTGACATTGGCGTTTTAGATATAAACACTGTCGTAAACGTCAAGCATATATGTCATGAGTTTTCTTTTCCTCTCTTATTAGCCACAGAATGCGACTTCCTGTGTAGAAGCGGAGAAAACGTGTACAGCACCGGCGCATGCGTATACAGCGACTGGGTTTGTGATGGCGTCGCAGACTGCACAGACGGATCTGACGAACAAACTTGTAAGTTTTACATTTATTGAAATGTTATTCACGATAACGTATTTCAATATTTTGATGGATAATTTTGAAAATGCCATTATATTTTTAATGAGAATTTTTTCTTTCTTTTCAGGCCAAAAACGCAGGCGGCGACGCGCAGTCCCAACCACCCATAAGCCAATCAGAAGAATAGATGCCAAATATTCCAAGATAAACCATAAGTGACAACGCTGACATAGCCAGTCAAATAATTTGGTCAACCAAGGATGGCATTTATGTCACATGATGAATTACTTGATATTCCTGGCGCAAAAACACAATAAGTTTACCATTGTTGGCTAAAGTTTCAAGCAAGAAACATTTTATCCAGAAATGAAACTGAATTCACTGATACAGATACGACAGAATAATTTGAAGGACACGTGAAATTTCTGTTGACATGACAACAAGATACGTTGCAAAGCTTTTTATAACGACTACGTAAAAATGACAAAAACAAACAATCTCTCTTCATAACAGTTCCCAATATGTAAATAAATTAATTTGTAAATAAAGAATATCTTCTACGTGTGTATTTAAAGAGGTAGTTCATAGGAATTTAGTTTGCCTAAAACCCTGCATTACACTATAAGAAAAGCTTAAGCCTTACGGCTTAAAAGTTATGTGACGTATGTATATTCCTACACATGACGGTTGGTCTGTACTCAGAAATTGTCCAAATTACGTCGTCTGCATTATTCCTACGAAATACCTCTTTAAAATAACTACTGCACAAAAACATTTAGTGCTACATTGTATTATTTGTATATAAACAGTTGACGTATACCTTGATGTTGAATAGAAACAATTATATTTACTTTGCAATGTAATCTACATACCTGATTTGTTTATTGTTCAATATTAAAATCTATTTTAAGATATACCGACTTATTTCTTCTTAAAACATAAATGCCACGCATTAATTGTGGACGCAGGAAGAGTACGGCGTGTTTCCTGAGAACGCAAACAAATAAATATCTAGGCAATGTCATCTTGGTTAAAACGGGGTTCATTTTCTCGTGATACGTTTCTTTGATACCTTAGGTACATGTAGCTCTCGTAATTAATTTTTGAACTCTGATTTTTGAACTCTTATTATATTATCATTGGGAATACCATATTAACGCCATATTCTATATGAAAACAAACTTAAGTTAACCCAGAATTATTTTGAAAGCAAATTGAAGCTCCTCAGTCCGGCTATATTTGAGTGGCCATCATGCTTGCCAAGAAAACCACCTCCAGGAAGTTGGAAAGGTACATGCCGCCAGTTTTCAAGCTCGGTACCATAGCTTGACCCAGAAAACCAGCGAGCTGCAAGTAGAACAGCCACGCCCACCCCCTCTGCCACCAGCCAATGGCGCCAACAATCACTCCAAATAAACCAATCAGCATGACGGGGAGGATCATGTCAAAGGTCACCTGAAAAAAATGGGAAAATAAGAGGATCGACATTGGCAATTGACTGGTATGTTGACTAGAGTCGCAAAAAGAAATTAACCAGTAGGAGTTTTTTTCTTAGTTACTGGGAATCCACGCTTGTTTCAAATGTGCCTTTAATATATCTCCGACCTTGACCTAAACCTATATTTCACCTTGACCTTGCTCCTGTCCAATGTCCACTTTGCAATCCCACCTTCTAAGGACAAGGCATAATTCCCTGCCACTTTTCCGTGATAGGTAACAAGTCCATGAACCACAAACGCCGCCGTCAGAAGATAGCTCCCAGTCATTAACCAATCATAACCCTGCAACATGCCGACTGCGATATACGCCAGACTGGTGAAGGTCAAGGGCACGATGACGTAATGGAGGAAGAAACACAAATCAGCCAATTGTAACGAAGCTCCCCCGGGGCCGCGTAGAGCTCCCATGGCAAGTCTTACGTTGTCCAACAGCCCCCCGCAGGCCACCATGAGGAAGGGGATAGCGATGGCGGGGGAATAGTTCTGTCCACTGAAGATGATGATCTGTTGTTTGTACGCTAAACTGCCGTGGAGGACAGAATACGTCATAAATGGGAGAGCTTTGATCAACGACATGCTGCTCACGCCGAGGAATTTCTTAAAGGAACAGCTGATAGGAGCTTAATGCTACTAGCACGGGTTTACCTTGATTCCAATGTTCAACAAAGTATATGGACTACGTCATCAGTGAACCAAGGATGGATGAACCTACGCAAGATGATGTCAGCAGAAAGTCGTAGAATTAGTCCAAATTCCATCAACTTCTACAGCAGTCTCGTTAAGCGCACGAGATTTGCGTACGCACGGCGACCTCAGCTGCTGCTATTGTCTAAACCTGACTAAACTACAGCCTGCCGGTTATTGTAGGCCTATACATACATGGACAAAAGGCCCTCCACCTAGCCAGCTAAGTAAGCTTTATCAGTCTCGTCAAATAAATCAGTTTACCTGTGCAACCGGTCGCCCTGTGATATCAATTTGTGACACAGTTAACGTATTGATCTATAGACTGACCTTTGACCCAACAGACGAATTGTGCGGGGATGCGGATAATCTACGCGGGCGTCAAAAACCATTCAGACTATCTTTATTTGATATGTTTTATAACTTTTTCCATTTAAGAAAAGGTTGTAGTTCTCGAAATTTTACTACATGTATATATTTTCGTTCTAGTGCTGAGTGGCATGAACAGAACGTAAACAGTTTTCAAATGAAATAAGGTCAATACGTGTATTTACCAAAGGTAAATATTTTTAAGTAGTGAGGGGGGGGGGGGTCACTAGTTATCGGCACTCAATCACTAACTGAAACCAGAGAAAGCACAATATTAAAATTCAGTTACTAAATTACGCAAAACTAACACCTACTTCTGATAGATATGTGTAATCGAAATACGTCTCATTAAATACTACTTGTATTAGATTAGAATAACTTCCAGGGCCGTAGCCTCCGGGGGGGGGGGGGGGGGGGGGAGGGGGNNNTCTGATTGAGCAATAAATAACAGTTAAAATGCACCAGAATGCAGTATTATACATACAGTTTTGAAAAATTTTCCACACCGTGGGAGGGGAACACAGCCTCCCCCCTCGGGGGCTTTGCACCCTTGTGTCCGCTTACTACCCCCCTGGCATTTTGCTCAGGCTACGGCCCTGACTTCCCACTGTCACTGATCCTAGATAAATAAAAAGAGGATCATTGCACAGGTCTCGTCAGCGGCAGTTCTTCCGAATCTTCGTTCGGCTGTTTCCGTAAAATGCAGTTCCGTATAAGCACCACTGCTCCGAAGCACAGAGCGGCGAAAACAAACACTCCGAGGTTGATATGGAAGACATAGTGGTAGGAGCCTGAGAGATCGTAGATCACACCTTGGGGGAAGACGAATAAAGAATATTTTAGTCTTACATGTAGCTAAAGCCCCCTTTACACTGGACGGCGTCCTTTCTGCGTCCCGTGGTACGGCCCCGTTTGAGAGTGAAAAAAAAATACTTTTCGTGCCGACAACTGGCCGATCACAGAGCATTCATTTCGCAACCGAAGCGATGTTTGTGCCTCCTTTCTACGACCACAACGATACCAGTTTCTTTGTCGCACAAAGGACGCAGAAAAGACGCCTTAAATTGTGAAGAGGGTTTAACAGATTTGATTCTTATCATAAATATAAACTATCCATGGGGACTGGTTACTTCAGTACATTCGATGAGTGACTACTACATTATTTTTAAGAGAGATACATACATATCAATACCCTTGCAATTTCAAAATGTTTCGTAACGTCTAAATCGTTTTATGTAGCCTAAATAACACTGAGACGCCTCTATAGTGATACGTTTAATAAAGAAATAAATAATAAATAATTAAAATTATAATCCTGAGTAAGCGTAAGAGAGAGGTAAGAAACGTATAGTAACGCAACTAATAACATGACGTCACTATAAGTTGTGACGTGATACACGGGTATTTACCACCATGTATGATCAATGTGCCTCGGTATTATTTTAGCATAGATTGTGCCAAAAAGGGAATAACCCCCCCCCCCCCCCAGAAGTGTTAATCCTGAGGAAATATGGGTCAAAATATCTTACCCGTCATCCCGATGCCGACTATAATCCCGAGGCCAGAACCAACCCTGCTGACAGCAAACAACTCCTGGGTGAACCATCCGTCTAGTACCTCACTGGAGGACGTGAACAGGACGGCCGTCATGGCGCCTGCCGTAAAACCAGCCACTGAAATACAAGGAACCACTTAAGACCCTGAAACAAGTTATCAAACGTACTTTTTTGACGGGCTTGATATATATATGTTTAGGAACCATATCGATGATACCATTTCCTTCCTGCTTTATTACAATTATCTTATTATGAGTAATGAAATACATTTATTGATTTACTTTATGTATGGCTGAGTCTGTGATAAATATCTAAAACTTTAGATTGAGTTTTGGGCATAATAACATATTTGTAATATTATCGTTGTACAAAAGAAAATGATAATAATAAATAAATAAATAAAACATTGATAGTACAAAGCTAAAAAATGTAACTTGTTAGCCAACTGCTAAAAGTACTTTTGCCAAGATACCTGTAATAAAGAAAAGCTCAATTAATATTCAAGAAAACTCAAATGTCTCAATAGTGAATACCACTGAAATGCTCAGCTTACTACCTTAAAGGGATAACAACTCTTCGTATGAGATCTATATTTCACAGTAAAAACATTGTAAACAACTCATAGAAATATAATATATTCTATTTTACCACACAAACGGTAGTTTGAGCAATTATTCTGAAATCTGTGCTTGCCATCGGACCATGTGGCCTCCATAGATGCCTATACTCAACAAACATTTTAGAAAAAAAACCAGGGACTAACTTTGAATGTGCAAATGGATTCATTATCCATTGGGAAGTATGGGAAAATTGTTGTTTACCACAGGAGAATTCATTTTTTGGCCAAAATGAACAGTTGTTTTCCCTTTAAGTTGCGATTGCCGTCCGGCTCAGAACCGTGTGCGCGTGCTTACTTACCAACACAGAATATCACCAGCTGATAATATAACGTGGCAAACCCTGCAGCGAAATTCTCCAGACCAAGAAGAAGGCAGCAGGCGATATTAAGATACATGACTCTCTTTTTAAATAGTCTGTCTCCTAAAAATGAAGTAAACAACCGTCCGCAGAGATCGGCTGAGGAATATATAGTAACTGTGGCCGCCGCTGTCATCTTTGCTACGCCCAGCGTTTCCAGATGTTTCACCTGGTAAAAATATCGTAATCCAATTAATTTTTTGGTAAAAATTCATTTCATCAATTTGAAAATATTCAAAGATTAATTGCAAATATATCTATTGTATTTATTATTTTTTTGGATTTAGCAATGAACTGTTTATGTATTCGCTGTAATGAATTATATTTTAAAAAATAAGATACAAACATTTATTTATTTTCTTACCATGATAAAGACAGGAGTAAACAAGGCCATTGAACGGGTAAACATGGTTATAACATATACACTTGCGCTTAAAACAAATAGGCATTTAGAAGGTTTCATTGAATCTGGTTCGTCTTTGATTAAGCTTGTCTTGTCATTTTCGTCTTGGTCCTCGTTTTCCCGAAAGGTGGCAGCAGCAGTGCAGCCGACGGTGAAAATTAACGTGGCGTAGACAGCAAAAGTACATTGCCAGCCTATGGATGTTATCATAGCTTGGATAATGGGGTTAAATATAAGTGAACCTGAAAATAACATGTAACGGATAAGTTATTTGGTAAATAACACCAATTTTATTTTATCTATCTTCTGAGGCTGACGTTTTGTAAGAAGACGTTCAAAAAATAATAGCAATAAAAAACAAATGATTTACTGACAGACGTTTTAGAATAAAATCTTAACGTAGCAGCATATCTGCCTCAAAACTTTCGCCATCTTATGTACAAAAGGAATATTACTTTACGGAGCGTCTGTCCCTTATTTGAGCGCAACGGGATTCACGGTTTGAAAGTGTTTATTTTATTTAATTTTATTATTATCATTATTATTATTACTTTTTATTATTATTATTATTATTATTATTATTATTATTATTATTTTTGCTGAACAATATTATAAAACTGACCCAAACAAAATGAGATCATCGGGAGACTAGACGTCAGAATATAATACTTATGGTCACGGTGAAAGTACTGAGACAGCAGGAAAAACGGCGGGTTGTTGGTGAGCAGGGCCCCACATCCTCCCAGGAGCCCGTATGTGAAGAACAGCTCCAGCGGTTGATCCACGACCCCCGAGAGGGCGACACCTAGCGACAGCAGGAAGACACCAATGAATACTGTTCTGCGGGCGCCTATCCACCGTGTGAGCGCCAGCGCTATCGGGGTTCCTATACTGATGATACCGTACGCCGTGGAACCGATGATACCTGAACGAGAAAAAAAATTGATCACGTAACATGATAAAGAACAAATCAGAATAATATGTGTCTGCTAATGAACAGGCATTGTAAACAGATTTAGCGTTTACTAAGAAAAAAGAAACCGATGATCGCTGGATGAGAAATAAGATTGGCCATGTGTCATAGTATTAACAAATATGTCTGAGAGAGAAGATAGAACATACACACACGGAGAGAACATCATTATTTTATCAATCGGGCGGCCGAGCAGACAGTTAAGACATAGACTGCATTCCCAGAGATTTAGATCGATCCATCCGGATCGACCTAACTCCCCGGGGGTTCACGCTAAATTGCTGTCAATCGAGCGCGCACCATAGTTAATTACCCCCTTACAGCTTGTAGTAGGCGGGACGGACATTTACGCCGGCTAAGCTGACAGTAATCTAGTGAGACTCCCACGGGATAGATCGATCTAAAATCTGTGGGAATGGGGTCATAGTGACCGACCAAAATGCAAGTAATCATGTTGTGTTCTTCAGTTTTGTAGACTACTTATTTATCAACATATATCTGGACAAAAAAATTGCATTCAAGTCTTAATGGGTTATATGCTAGGCAAGATTATTCATGCTCCATGCTATTTATAAAGATAACCCTAATCGCCGGCTCCGTTATTTTTTTATGCGCCTGGGCATCAGCACTGGAGAGTATCTTTTTAAAATGATACTTAAAAGACATTAAAAAAACTCTTTACCTACCAAAGAAAGCCATGTTTGGTTCCTGAAACACGTTGCTGAACGTAGCAAGAAACTCTCCGTATGACGTCAGCATACCGTGTATGGTCGTTCTCATGGCAACGGCAAATACGAGGATTACCCATCCCCACGATGTATCACCCATACAGCCCATGTTTAAATGACGTCAGCAGTCAACCGCTTTGCTCTTTCTTGATATAGTTCACTTGTCGTGCGTTCGTATAAGCTGCATTTCCTTTTTGCACTTGAAGTAGAATGCAAATGCATTTCAATCTATACATGCATATGGCGCAAAGTCCCCAATACCATGCACAAATTTATAACAAACAAATCTTGTTCAAGCTTACAGATTTTGAACTCTATGAACCCTATGATGAATAAAATGAATGAATTTTGGTATGTTCTAAAAGTAATATAATAAATGGAACATGTTTTTGATATATATGTAGATTTCAGTATAAGGAACAGATAGATAACTGGATAACCGTCTGGCGAGACGTTAATATACTTTTCATGTCTTAAAACATTTATTCCACTTTTTGTCACATTAATATTGCTTTGATACTTCATCTGATACAACTGCGAGATAAATGTCCATAAAAACCACTTCAGAAAAAGAATAATAAAAACATCGTATCTAAAGTAGGGTATATTTGCTCTGCCATATTTGTAAATGCGGGATTGTAAAAGAAGAAGAAGAAAAAGTTGTTTTTTTTTTTTTTTTGTATCAGTGGAGCAGGGTAATTTGACCTTTTTAATGTTTTAAGTATACATAATAAAAACGCGGAGACTCTACGCTCCATTCATCTTCTTTGTATTTATTATTTCTTTTTGCTTTGTAAATCTATCAACAAGAAAGGAGCAAAAACTGATCTGCAACCGAGAAATTTAGTAACACGACTTAATTTTAAGCTCGGTGTAATAATGCCTTTATAAAAATGATAAGAGATTGCAGAAATATTCTTTTTTATATATTTTATTTAAATATACGATAAGGTTATTCAAATGTTGAGTTAAATTTTGATAGGATTGAGTATTATACCGATTCTAAAAAATTTAAATAACCTTAAAGGTTTAGCAGCTAGCCATCCTGATCAAGAAACATTGAGACATTGATTACTTTTGTGATTTGGTATATGTTATTATTATTTTTTCTCTTTATTTTCAGGTGGAAAAGTCGAAGGGCCGGAGTAAATTTACAGAAAAAAATTGTAGAGAAAATACTTTTACTGATAAGGCCTAAATATGTGTGGATACAGAAATAAGATGAAATATTATTTGTTATTCTTCAATAGATCTGCTTGTTACCTGAGACATTATTATTATTATTATTATTATTATTATTATTATTATTATTATTATTATTATTATTATTTTGTGTGTGTGTGTATCTAACCCGAATAATTATTACGATTTTATTCCCAAGTAAATTTTATTCGTAAGATTTATGCATAAAGAATAAGGATCACAGACCTAGATAAAATTTACGGCATTACTATTTAGATGCGTTGAACAGAAAATGTAATATATTGTATGTACCATATCATGACTTTTCGTTTTTTCATGATGGATTTAAAGAGATGAAAAATATTATATTAGTAGGGGAAGCGTGTAGAAACCTCCCTCAATTCTATATTGTGTAATGATATTTTGTCAACATCAATTTTCTCCTGTCTATGAAAATATTTTGTTACATACTCAATTTTTTTGCCTGACATAGATGTATAATTTAGATGTGATAAGTGGAAACCCACGCCTGTTAATGTTGCACTACAATATGTACGTAAATCATTTGAAGCCAGTGTGGCACTCATATGGATTCTACTTTTGAAATAAAGGGAATAAAATGTGAATATTATGCACAGTAAAGAGATTTGCAATTGAAGGTGTGAGGTTATTTGTTATGTTTCTTTCTGCGTGTGAAGTGAAAATCCCTCCAAGCGAAGGTCCATTAGGTCATTACTGCTCTGAGGGAAGGAAAAGTTAATTTCAAACTAAGATCTAATATACCGTTTACTAAGATCTAATACATCCGTTTATTAGATCTTAGGTTCAAAGTATGCCTTCTTAATAAAATAATCTGCTCTTTTTGCTGTGCGGGTTGCGATTATGATATAGCCACAATGAAGATATATAAAAAAAAAACGAAATGGTGCTCTGTTAATATGACGGTCTGGGCCCGTGCTAGGTATATCAAATGACGGTCTGGGCCCGTGCTATGTATATCATGTGACTCAAACCGCCCTCAATAACATGGTGCCGTAACATTTATCAACATATATGACTTTGAGTGTTGATCAAAACAAGCAATTTCCGTTTAAACTGGATTCATTGTTTAATCTCTCGGGGTTGTAAATTAATGAGGAAAAAGCATCCATGTCTATCTAGTATCTCAGGGAAGACCATTCTGTATTGATTATTTTGCTCAGACATGATAAATAGAATTGCTTTTTGATAGCCCCCTTTCTCCGCCGTATTATTCGAACAGTTTTTGCGACAACGGCATTTTCTATAGTTTGCCCAATATGGCAACTTTGTAATCAACTTAAGGGACTGAATTTCAATTCACAAACCTTCGTGAAATATAGTTATAACCAAAATTTGACAAACCAAGTTGTGTCAGCGAAATAGATAAGCAGAAGCTATTAACTATAACTATATACATTACTCNGCGCTCTTAGATTAGTTATTTTGTTGATGAAAATTAATTCACGGGAGTTCAGTTATTAATTAAGATGAAAGTCAGTTTGGACGGTTCATAACAATGTATAGAATGACATTGACGCTAACATTAACCGCCATCTGCAAACTACAAGAACATCCTTTCTTAAGAACTAATTAATCTAGCACCAGATGGGATATTTAGGCACTCACCTCTTTAAAAGCGCTGTGCTGGTATCCAGAAAAGATACGCTCTTCACCTCGCGCCAGTTTCGTATATATTAACCTTGCTCTTCCTCGAGTACCACACGCCTGTGGTTTTTCATACTGATACCGGCGTTTATCGTCGGACGACACTACGCGGCGGTTAATGTCCGGGAAGAGAGCGTCTTGTGGACGTCCAATTAATGGTCTCGCTGAAAAATCCACCCTCTATGGCCGACCAAGCGTATTCGGCATGTCAAATTGACTGATGAAGTGACCGGAATTTTCGATAATGTCGTAAATTTTCTCTGCGATCGATCGCTGCGGGCACGTTACAAGTGTTGCGTCAACAGAGGAGAAGGCATTGCTACGAGCTTCTCTGTCGCAATGCCGGTTGATCATTACTAAAACAGACAGACGCAATAAAGTTTTCAATTCTATTAACACAAAGCTCGTGTTTACTTCCACGGATTATTTTTGTCCTTCATTCACTGTTGATATATCTAATGTCAGGGTCTTGTTTGAATGACATAACCTTAGACTATACTTTAAAATATTGTTATGTGGAGACTTTGAGACATCAATACTTATTATACCAGGATTAGGAGTCAAGAGAAAAAACACACGATACATTGATTACAATATCATTTACCCAGGAGAGAAATGAAAACAACACTTTCATTTCCATATAGACGTTATGTTGAATTATAGGTTAGAAACACAAGGCGCTTTTCCTGTATAATATCCGATCAGCGTTTAGATACTGCAGTTTGCGTTCATTTTTTTTTTTTTCTGAACCAAAGATCAATTCCATCTTTGATGATGCACTGAAATTGAACAGCCATTGATTGGAGAACAAGTCAATTACCACATCTTGCTTGGCGGCGGTGCTTAAGTCAAAAACACACAAAACACTTTGTATTAAGCAATTTGAATAAGGATGTAAGGACGAAAATATGGCGTTACGAAAGGTCGAGTGCGGTGTAACGCCTGAACAGCATTAATACTTGACTAACGCTAATAGGAGCGTACTCAGGAAATTAGTTAATTAGATCAGTGTCATCTCTGTAATAGCTAAATTTCATTTTCTCTATTATCGCAGCAGCAGTAAGCAATCCATTAAGGAAATTAAAATGACCTGTAGCTTCAAAAATGTCTGGGAAATGATACACAGATCATAGGCGAGTCTATTATTCATGAAATATGTTCTGTAGACTTTACAAATAAAATACAAAGCTGAAATTATTAATTTAGATTTAATACCAAAGCACAGCGATGGCAAGTAACTATTTTTTTACCAAGGTCGTGCAGGGTGGAGATCGAAAATAAAAAAGTGTCATTATAAACACGAAAAAATGGCTGTGTGATTGGTGTTTTTAAAATGCCAGGCAATAAAATACCGTGCAAATAAGAAAGCGTTTCAGCATTTTGCTTGGATCTCCCTGTAAAGGCAAAACTATTAAGTCATACGTGTACGTGATTTGGGGTGCTGTAAGTGTCTCTAATTCTATAATGGATATCCCCGAGGTATAACATAATATCTACAATTGTAATATGATATGACTCAACGCCATTAACTTGTTTGGATCTTGGCAACATTTGTCCTCGTCTTTCTTTCTCACCTGATTGCGTGACAATTTAAACCACAGACATCAGTTCCACCCCGTGAACCTGTTGTCCTAAATTGCATGTGAAATTAGATTTGGGTGAATTACTGTTGTGATTGGATAAGTGAGCATTTTTTATTTTGTAAATCTTCTATAGTGACAAGAAAAGTCCCAGCATCTATGGTTTAACAGTCACAGCAGTCGTTGAACCCTGGATTACGTAACTTGCTTCATTTTTTACCGTGGGGTATTTTATGTTATCATCACCGAGGGTGTCGTCAGATACTTCTCCAATTATTGCTGTATGAGACACAGCCTCTTATATTGTTTCTCCAATCTGGTTGTCCTTATTTTCGTGACTGGTATATGCTATTAAAAAAACATGAGGCAGAACAGAAACCAACACTATCTGACATTTGTTTCGGAGAAAACCGTTTGACCCTGTCTCAGATTTGATACGATAACAGAACTTGATATTTTGACAACTTTGACTTACCCAACAAAAGGTTTCAGAATTAATAGTGAATTTGAAGCTCAAAGTGCATTACATGAATGTCATCGAATAATTACGAAGTTATCGCCTTAATTTCAACTTATAAAAAGATAGAGAAGCATTCAATATGATGTCTGCTGACAAGCTAGAATAAAAAAAAAGAGCAAGCAAGAATAAACGTAATGAGAAAATGAAAAAATATATATACGTGATATGAATAAGGATGTTAGAAGTAAATCACATCATGGTTATTTAGAAACGTTTGTAATTAAGGT